ACCAACTTTCCAGTTTACCCAAAATGGTCCTCCTCGTTTTACCACTTAATTCTTAATACTATAATTCCAACATTAAAATATATTCCATTCAAATGCTTTTACAAAAGCATAATTACATTTAAGTACATCAACTATACAATTGTTGTACTTAAATCACTAATCTTTTCAAACTTCCAAAATAATCATAGTTTTAATTTGACTCTTTTCAATTCCAAACAGCATTTTCCAGAAAAGTACATCAATTATAACACTTAACAACAACCATCAATTTTCCATATTCGGAAACTCGTACTATCTTTAAAGAATCAGTATTTTGTATGATATACATACTGCAATTTAATTCTATTTCTTCCGTTGAAAACTAAACTCGAATAAAAATCCATCTATATAAAGAACTCCTTCTAATTCATTCTGTACAATTTATGGTGAATTTTCAAAGTTGACTAACAAAATCTGTTTTGTAGAATCTACTGTCCGATTTTTCTGACATTTCCTTGGTTAAAAATTCATAACTTTTATATACACATTGAAATTGATCCCCATTTGTTTTAAACAAAACTATATCGATATATGAACAAATATATAAAATAACCTTGAATTATTTTTATATATTTCTGGTGAATTTTTGAACCTACTGTCAGATTAAAATTCAAATTGTTTTCTTTAACTTCATTCTTAGGTTCTCATCAATTCTACAACCAATTCTTAAAATCTCTTAAACTCTTCAAAACCCATAAAACACAATAACCCCTTCATCAACTCAAGATAAACTTGAACACTAACAATATTATCATGCATATTGGTACCAAATGATAGCGTTTTTAGCATATATCAATTTTCTATTTTCAGTATCTCAAAATCTTAAGGAAATTGCTTGAAATTGAATTGAAGCTTTCTCTTACCTTAGGAGAAACCCACACAGCTTTGGAAAAGAAGATGAGCATGTAAAATGAAATGTTAGATAAATTTCATCTTAATTTACATTTACTCTAAATTTAAATGAATAAAATATTCATTTAGTTGAGATAAGACCAAATCACTCTTAATGAATCTTTATTTACCATAAAACTATGAAATCCCTTATCATATTCAAAGTCAAAGCTGAATTATTTTGACTTTTATTTCCGTAATTTCCCTTAATTTCAAATCTTATGTTTTAGTCACTAAATTCCACTATTTCAGTTGAATCTGAAAAATTGCACATTTCAAACCAAATTTCTCTGATCCAAACTATTAAAATATTTCCAACCAATTTACAACATCCTTTAAATTTTTGTAAAACTCCAATTCGATCCGAATTACCGATTCCTTATCGGCTTTAACCCTTTATAGTTTTTCTTTACTAAAATTCTAAATCCAAAATATGATTTCTATAAAACCCCACTCTCAAGAGTAAACTATCTTTTAATGGAATAAATTTCTTTTTAGGAAATGATCACTTAATTCCCTAAACTTTCCTAATTTTTCACTTTGACCATCAAACTTTCAAATTTACATTTTGGTCATTATCTAATTTTTTGGGGTATTACATGAATGTATTCCCCTTGAACTGGACGCGATGTTGCCATATGGATTGTTCGTGAACCCACCTCAGTACATATCGTAAGGAGTTACGGATGAATGTCTCCCCATTGAAGTTGATGTGACGACACCATGATGCGGATTTCCCATTATGACGTTAAAATCATTACACATTACTGTAATCGGGCTGTCAACTTGATCAATTTGTTCAGCCAGCCCATAGTGGGAGCTTAATGCCTGACCTCGAACATCACGCACTTGAACAAACTTTGCATACGTCTCAATATCGCCGTCTGAATAATTATTTTGAGAATCAGCATTTCAACATCATCATGTTCGATAGTTCGAACGCTGTATAAGTTAATGGCAACAATGATGTTAAAAATTTGTACTGCAACGACGACATTCTTCTACTACTTCCAACATGAACCTTCCTCGAAATCTTCGTTATCAGCTCCTCAAGAGTTATGTTTCTCTTGAATGATATTTTAACACGCTCATTTGATACGAAAACAACGCCGGTTCCATCTTCTCGAATTTCTCCTTCGTAATAAACAATAGCTGAAAGTCGCGCCATTCTTAGAGTTTAAAAGTGCGACAATATTATATCTGCAAAAAAAAAAAAAAAACTGAAACAAACCTAATTAAATAAATATATATGAACGAAAATATAACACAAAAATTTTTACATATAAGCGTAAATAATTTAAATAATATAATTTTATATTATTACCTGCACCGTAAAAATATTTCAACGTATGCTCTCTCTTTCCCCTTGAACTGACACAGAAATTAATTGAAAACAATTACTATAACATTTTTTCAAATTATCATGATAAACAATAAGTATAATAAAAAAATATTATAACAAAGTTACCTTATAACGAAAGATCGAACAAACTTCTGAATTAAATATAAGAGGATTGTCGGGTGTTATTCACTGGTTGAAAGGATTGTTATATTAATTTCTCGGTTGAGTGGGAATTGTGAGAGAGTTTACGGGGAGAGGGCTATTTATAGCCGAGAGAGGATGCTTTAAAGCCAAGAGGTCTGGGTAAATAATGCAAGGTGCGGTCCCTACACCGCGCCTTGCATTATGCATGTCTGATAATTGAGCATATGATAATTGACAAGCGCAACCCCTAACCCGCGCTATAGCCCTACGTGTCGTAAGACGCGCCCCAGAGGTCACGCTTTAAACACGTGTGTCCATGTCAGCGTAAAGCGTACCCCCGTGACGTCATATCAACGTAAAGCTCGCTATAGGAGGGCGTCTTACTACAAAGGATTTTAAATATAGAAAAATAGTCTGAAGAGTGCCTAATAGAGAATATTATAGGATATAGGTGATATTTTGGGGGGGGGGGGGAAACGCCGGTAATTTACGTGTCCGTTATTATTTATTTACAGAAATATTAAATTTTAACTGCGAGTTGAATTTCTGGATTTTTCTTGCTCTACCGAATCATGCATTTTAGTTCTATTGTATTATAATTATTGATTTATTATTAATTTGATTTTAAATATTATAGACCTTTATTTTTTTAGATAATTTATTTTATTCACATATTAAGATTTAAATTATGATCGTTGTTTGAAAATTTTAATGATTTATCTCAATTAGTTAATTAATAGTTAGTAATGGTTAAACCATTTTATTTATGTACATAAATTTTAAAAATTAAAAACCAATCTAAAAGGGTTGGGTGCATGGATGTCAATTTACCAATTCTCCTCCGCATTCTCTTTCCTTTATTTCCCTCCCTCGTCCTTTTTTTTCTTCAGTTTCCTTCTTTCTTTCGAAGAGCATTCCTTGCCCTCTACGTGATTAAATTAAAATGATTACAAAATAATATATGTTTTAAATATTCTCAATTATTTGACAATAAACACTAAATTATCCTACTGCAATCGTTGGTACTCGAACCCGTGACTTCTAAAAATAACAACGATCATTTTAATCACTAAGATAAATTAGTTCATACGAAAAAGAAACATTCAAATAAAAAACAAAAGAACTTTCTCTGTTTGTTCAGTCTGGTTTGGTCATTTTATTAAATTAATTATTAGCAAAAATTTAAAGCAATATCCCGGAGGGAGGAAAAAATATAATTTCATTTCACACACCCATAAAAATATACAAAATTTAATTATAATTCATTAAAAATATTTCAATTTACGCTACTGGAGGGTTGAAGGCATTTCTGGTATATTTATTGAAAAAATTTACAAAATTTCATCTATGTGAATCAGATAATCTAAAATATTACCCTAGATTCATAGACCCTAAATTATAAATTTAAAACTTAACCCATAATAAAATAAATAACATTCAAATATATATTGTATAGACTAAAATGTATAATACATGTATCATATATATTTTTACATTTAGATATAAGATATGAGAATATAACATTTTCAAATCATAGAAGGAATTAAGAGTTTACATTTACATAAAATAAAATCTTGATCTTAAAAAAATCTGTTTATTGGTCATCTGTTTCTCAATGGAAAAGGAAAGGAATAAATGTAATTCGTAAAAAATATTAGCAAACGACGAAAGTAGGCGCTGAAGACAGCGTCAGTCTGGTCTCCATTATTGGAGAGATTAAAATCATTCCAAGTCAATTCAAACTATGTTCTTTTTGTCGTTTTTCAATGATGATCCACCTAACCTAATTATTATTTGTTAGGGTTTCACTAAAGACTCGGCTCCTGCTTGTGGAATGAAATAATTTTTTTGACTAGTTGTAGAACTAATTGAGATAGTTTAATCAACGATAATTTAATTTAAATTTAAAGAAATTGAAAATATTATAAAAATATAATATTTTTGTAGAGTATTATAAAATATTATTTTTTTAATATTTTCGTTTAATTAAAAATGTTATGAAATATTTTTAATTCAACCGAAAATAATAGAAAAAGTTAACATTTTAAGTTTATTCAATTGAAAATATTATGATTTTTATAATATTTTCAATTGCGTTCATTTCTTATCATTCTTTGGTCTTGAATTAGGTTGTCGTACTGATATCCGAATTAATATATGAAAAATTAGTTAAGGGAGTTGTATATAATTTAATAACTCATGCAGTAATTCATCTTTCTTCATTTCTTTAGTTTAAATATATTTCTTTCAATTTTAACAATTTTCTTCCATAAGTTAAACCCATAATCTTCTCCACGAATTACTTTAAATTTAGGGTAAACTACAAAGTTGGTCATTTAATATTTGGGGGTAGATTTCGTTTTCTCTACTAATGTTCCAAAATTTATAAATCAGTCACTAACAGTTTCGATTGATTACAAACTGATCACTCAACATTAATTAACGTTAACTGCTTACATGGTGACCAGTTGGATTTCAAAGCTTTCCATTGATCCAGATTTTCAACCGGTGATCCTTTTTTTTTTGGGACCCGCTCCTTCTTCCCGCTTTATCGTCTCTGTTCTAGAACCATCAAAACCCACTATTAATCCAAAGAAAACTTGTCTTTGTTTACAAAGAAAGCCTCAAGAACATTATAAAAGTGAGAGTTTTTTTTCCCCTTAAAGAATCAAACAAAGAGGGATTCTTGCAATGGGTTGTTTTCTTGCATGTTTTGGTTCCTCCAAAACAGCAAGAATCGAAAACAGAGACACAAGGTTTAACCTCAATCTCAAGTTAGTTTTTCTTTCTGGGAAATTATTGATTTACTTTATATGGTTATTTTCAGTCACATGAAGCTTACCATTTTGAGTTTTTTCCCCTCCCTCAGAGAAATGTTAGTCACAATGCTCAATCCACAGTTTCTTTAGAACAGAGCAGTTTGGGAATGCCTATCAATTCCATTAAAGAAGTCCGGTAAGTAAATTTAATGACTTACTATTCTGTTTGAAATGGTGGGTTAGAATTTCATACATTTTTTTGTTTCGATTTGGGGTCCAGAGATGATAAGGCAGAGGAGCAGCTTGGTTCCGGTTCTAGTGCTAGAAAGGAAGTAACTTTCGATACTAATCTTAACACCTACGAACATGTTTTGATTGATGAAAGTACTGATTTTGAATTGCATAATGAAGAAGGGGAAAATAAATTGAAGGCGAAAGAGGAGAATTTTGGTAAACCAAGGGTCATTCGAGGAGGTAGGGATGGTGATGTTGTTCCCGTGTTGAAGCCTTTTGAAAATCTTGATCAATGGAAAGCTGTGAAATCCAAAGGGCCAACACCATTGAAGCTGCAAAAGGAGAATCTCAGGTTGGAACAAGAAGAGCTCCAGCTTTGGGGTAGCTTGGACCGGTCATTCAGTTTCAATGAAGAAACCTCCATCGTGGCAGTCAACTCAGTCAACCTCAGTCCATGTTAGCACTTGACGCTTCAGGTATTTTTTTTTCACGGCCGTTAACGTTTGAGTGACCTGTTTATAACTAATCGATAATGTTAATAATTGATTTGTAACTTTTGAAATAGCAGTAGGGAAAACAAAAGTTACCCTAAACATTAGTGACTAATTGTGTAGTTTACCCTTAAATTTATGGTGGAGGAAATGCCAATGGTGGGGAATGTTATGAAAAGGAATTAATAAAACTTTTAAAGATATAGGAGAGAATGACGAAGTTTCATTTACGTTGAAAAGCAGGAAAAATAAGGAACCAATGAGATGGAAGGCAACAGATAGACCCACAAGCAATCTCAACCTTCAAAGAAATAATGTGTGTTTTTTATAATTCAGCGTAGATCCTCAAATTAATATATATTTAATTAAGGTATGCCATCAAGTTTAATTTTTATACTTTTTAAATAAAATATATATTTAAACGTTAAACATAAAAAACAATTATATTAAACTATGATGCAAACTAACTTATAAATATTTTTGATAACTACAAAATATTTATTAAAAATATCGTGACCATGATTTTGTTACTTATAACAACCAAAGCTATATCAAATAAAAGAAATGGAAGAAATAAGTGAGGAACAAAAAAGCAATAAAATCAGATTATGAGAGTTTGAGCAAAACTTGAAGCAATTTTCCTCCTCCTCTCTTGTCTTTTGCCCCTTATTTCTTTCCTTTGTTTCTCTGACACCGGCCATAGAAATATCACTTACATTCTTCGTTGTCTTTTGCTGGGCTCTGCAATTCTTCTTATACAAGATACTATTACTTAGATACGAAAATGAACTGTGCATACGCTGAAACTGAGACTTTTTCTGTGAGCATTGGAAACTAAGAACATTTTCATTTGGATCAAAGGAGGAAATTACATGGAGAAAGACGGGGCGGACGGAGGCAGTTGTCCTCCTATAAATTTTAAATTATTATATAATTTAATTTTTTTTATGTATTTTATTGATAATTCGTTTTCTTCCTCTAATATAAGTTCTTTCGATTTTAAAATTTTAACTTTCTTTTGACATATTCTATGGTGTAAAATTTGATTTTGGTGGGATGAAATGAGAACAAAGGAGACAAAAAAACACGTGTCTACGTATGCATTGTTTTGGTGGGTTATATATATATATATATATATAATTAGAAACCGAGTTATTTCTTGTCTTTGCGTATAAAATGTAGAGCTATACCGTGTGACATTCTCTTCATATGTTATACGAGTGTTTGTTCAAAGGGTTTTCCTATAGCTCAGGCTTGTCTTGATAATGATGTGTTTGAATTCAAGTTCATTATGAACCAAACTTAAATAGCGTGTGATCTCAAAGTGTTTATCTTCACCCTTACCTCATTTGCATGAACAACAATTTCATCCAAAATCAAAATATGTTTTTGCAGATTACAGTTGATAAACTTCAATTATCCATGAAATCAGACAATTTAAGCAAAAACAACTTAAACTAATCATGCTTTTCTCTTACTAAAACTTGGGATGGAGCTATGCCGCATTATCCCTAAAGTCGTAAACTACACACGGGACATCCCAAGTTTCCGTTCAAATAGGCGTTGGAGTAGGTAAACTTGCAACACTTGCCCCAATTAGTGCTGCAGATTCATACAAGGCCTTGTGAAGTGCTTTTTTACTCATTGCTTCATTCACTGCATTTCGGGTCGAAATGAACTGTCAGGAGACAATGTAATCAACTGCAGAGGATTCATGAGACTACCAAGAGATTTATGCAATGCTTAGTTTACAGGTTTTCGCTTTAATGCAATAAAAATATTTACTCCGATGTCGTGGAAATATGATCCATCAATTGTCTCGCATAAGTTGTTCAACATCAATGATAGAACATCAGTCAGAATGGTCTAAACTGAAAGTAAGAAAAATACAGATATACCTATCGCCTGGCGTTCCGTCTGCGCCTCTAACCAGTGCTGCTCGAACTGAATGTTATGAAGAGCCTCCTCTAACTTTGATATTTGTTGTATCAGAGGGTCGAAATGCTCTATCAAATAAGCAAGAAAACAACAATCAGTGCACTTTATTAAAGGCTTAGTGTGAGGGAAAAAATACGAAAAAGGCGAAATAAAACACGGGTTACCATCTTTTGCATGCTGATCAAAGTATGAAAAATGACTTTCATGTACATCGAAGTCAACTGTTTCATGATAAGGAGATCTATTACTGAAGCAGAAATGATGGACTCCTTTTTTATTAGCAACGAACTCAAACTTCTCACTTATCTTGTCACGATAATCTTGAATCTGATCGCCTAAAGGTCCCTTCACCTGATAATTACAGCAAGTATCAAACTGGATGAGACTTCGTGAGTCGTGAATTTGAGTTCCTCGACAATTTGACTTAAAATCACTATAAGATTTTATGACCCCATGTACAGAATTGAACTTATTCAGATCAAAACAAAATATTACCAAGTAACACAACACGGGAGTTCTGAGAAAGGAACAACCTAATAGCCTTTGCAGCCGATGGTTTCTCAAAGAGGGAAACTGGGAATCTGTTTCTGGTTCTAGTCTAGGATAACAATTTAAAATGTAAACCAACACTAAACAAACCATGAGAACATTGTTTGGCATGGAAGAAAATAGAATTATGTTACGGGCATAGAATTCCAAGTTCATCCTCAAATCCTATTCACCAACGACTTCTAGTCTTAACCTATATCACCCAAACTCTCCATTTTTCTTTAAATGTCTGTTCTCGCAAGTGTTGACATATATTCAAAACATAGATCTTAACAGTGCCCAAAGGATTCTAAATTGTGCAATAACTGAGCAACATTTAGCGAAGGGGTAAAAGTACACACGACAGAAAAAGGAGCAATGGGATCGGATGTAAGAAAGGGTCATGAAGCTTACCACCAGATCGACACCCTCATGGCTCGAATGCCAACCAGAATCGGCCTTAATGACGACGAATGAGGCATGAATTGTATCCCCTTCATACTTAATATCATGAGACAAGCATTCTTCTCTATCAATCGTGAATCTAATTCCACACACTGCATTTAGGCCGCACGACAAAGCGAGCAATATAACAGCTACAAATTCAAGGAACCGAATTTTCATCTGCAAATTACAATGTCAATAAATCCGAATAATCGAACTTGTTAAACAAATAAAATTGCAATTTTTTAATTCAATCGCATAAATATCAAACTATGGAAAATCAAATACCAACTAATTAATACTTTCTGGAAAAAAAAACTAAGCGAAAACAATGTACATAAAAAGAATCAATGACAAAATAAGAAATCGTAAAGAGTAACACGATTTTCTCTGACAATGTTACTAAATAGAAAACCCTGAAAATTTCCCCCATTGATTTTCCCCTATTCAAATTGACATGATGGGATTATTAAAAATACAAAAAAAGGAAAAACATTTTGACCCCAGAAACATTTCCGAGAAAACCCCAGAATTATTGAAGCAAGAAAAAGATGAATTAGGCTTACAATTGAACGATCCATTAAAAGGAAGGAAAACATTTTCTTTCAAAACAAGATCAGAACTATGAATGTAAAAAAAACAAAATGAATAAGATTTGTAAGAAACTAAGGTGATCATTGCAACAATACAATTTTACCTTTCTGGGTCTTTCTCAATAACTTGCTGAAGAGTTCACAAAAATGCAAAGATTAAATCTTTAGAAGCGTTTGAAGACGCCAACTTGTGACAGAAACGAGTTCTAAAGTACTTTGACGATCGTTTACTGAGGTTGTCGTAAAAGGGTTAATATTGGGTCAGGAAAATAACTTGAATCTTCCGGGTTTCGACCCAATCTAATTTGGATCGGGTCAGAGGGTCCAATTTTATTGGAAGTTCCGGTATATTAAAGCTCAGCATTGAATTTTTTAATCAATTTAAGATGAATTTCATTCATTAATTTATAAAACTGTCGCAAGGATTTAAAGTTTCAGTGTAATTATGCTTAAAAAAATTTAAATAACACAAGTTTGAGGAGTATACAAATCAAGGAGACGATAGGATATGGATATTTTCTATTAAAGAAACTTAAATTTAAATATTGAATATATATATTTTTATTCATTTAATACATGTCAACGTAGACATCAAATGTAAGTGTCTAATTTGTTTAATTTATATCAATAAAAGTGTGAAATACAAATATTCATATGTTATCTCGTGTTGATAACTATTTTGTGTAGTCATATTTTATTTGTAGGGCGTACAATTATCAAATACTTTCAATATACTACCAATAACACAATTTCTAATCTAATAGTTATCGCGACAATATATATTTATCTTGTAAGCTATAGTTACAAGAATTCTGAAATTTACTTAGAAATAATGTTAGAGTTTAAGCTGGAGCTTCAGGCGATTATTGAAACTTAGAAGTATTGCTCGGTCAGTCCTTGCAACAGCTACAATAAGCACAAAAGAAATTTGGGAAGAAATTAGACTCAAAGATGCAAAAGTTTCATGGCAAAATCTGATCTGATATCCCCTCCACATACCGAAACTCAACATCATTTCCTGGATGATTATCTTGGATCGGTTGTCTACCAAAGACAAATTATTTCGATTTGGTCTTGTTACCAATGATACCTGTATCTTTTGCTCTGCAACAACAAAAACTAGGAACCATCTCTTCGCTGAATGCACGAAAACTGCAACCATTTGGAGATTAATTCTTCAACTGTCTAGCTTGAACATAATCTTCTCGACATGGACTGATCTGTTGGAATGGGCATCATCTTCCTGGAAAGGTAAATCACTGATCACTAGAGTATTGAAGCTCTCTTGGGGCACATTTAATTGTACCATATGGGAGGAAAGAAATTGAAGGATTTTCAAAGGAATTGCAGAACTGACAAAGATATTATTAATACTATTAAGGAGATTGTTGGAACTATTCTAAGTAATAGAAATGTTAATAGATTAGATATCATAGATTCTGATCTTTGTACTCATTGGGGTATAAGCTAATTTTGCTGTAAAATAGGATCCCCTTCTTGCTCGTTTTGATTGTGTTTTTTGCAGTAGATCGCTGCTATTTTGGGTAATAAAATTCAAATTATCCCAAAAAAATGTTATGTTAATTAGTTATGTATATGTATTGCATATAATTTTTTTACTGTTGTAACTTTTTCTGTATGATGTTTATGTAATTATGTTGTGTATAGTGTGAAAAGAGTCTTTACAAAAAGATTTCTTTTTACTTTGAAATACATGGCTTTATAATTCATACAATTTATGTGTAAAGATAAATGGATATGACACTAAATATGTTCGGGTTCGATCCCCTGCATCGATGTTTGCTGTTTTTATAACATTTTACGTCATGATTCCCGCGTACTAAAACTGGATTTAAGCTTAGGGGAAACTAACTTCTGGGTCAATTTACAGAGTTCCCTTTAATATCCATAATTGATCTATTATAGAATTAATTAATTTTCAAATTGTAATACTACATTAATAATATTTTTATAACACCAAACATTAAATACTAAATCATGAACTAACCATCTGTGTGACAATTGTCAGTATTTTCATTAGTCAAGACTATAACATGACATTCTCCGTTTCCTTTCTAATTTTATTTTTATGTTTCAGACAATACTGTTTTTTCATCATAAAATATTCTTACATAACAATCTCTCTCTCACTAGTATGCTTTTTCTTGGCTGAGAAAATTTTATTGTCTAGAGTTTGGATTTTTCTCGGTGGGTTTTGATCTCTGAGTTGAAAGATTAAAAGGGTATGTTTATGAAAGAATGAAGAGTGTGGAGATCAAATAAGATGGTCGTGAAGATTTCAAGGGCTCGCAAATAAGATGACATTTTATTTCACCTGTTGACTTGAGATGTCAGTTTTGTCATGTTGTTGAATTCTAGGAAATTTTGAAAGAAATATCTCTCTTCAATGCTGAACTAGGGTCTCACTGGCAGTGGCATGAATTTCTGGGGAAAAACATTAATGCTTCGTGTTCTTTAATGACTTGACATTTTTGGCAAGGATATTTAAGGTATGGCCATCTTCAGTCATATGAATAAATTGAATTGTTTAGTGCACGATGAGGTATTCTTTCTATAAAGAAAATTGAACAAGATATGATTACATGGATTTTCGTTTATTCATCGTTTAATGAAGGACAGATTTATACCATAACTTTCATAAGTGCATAGGATGAACCTTCCTTTGATTTCCCGATGACTTTTGCCGGCCCGGAAATTTACCGATCGAGATTGCCGATTAGCAATTCATATCGGCATGTCTTGTTAAGATTATAGTTCCCTTTATTGATTTGTGGCAACTTATTTTCTTTATATCAACATGTGAATGTCAGAGCGATAGTAAACGAGCAAAACCCCATGGTTGCAATGGGATGCTCAACTGCTACCAACTCTCCGAGAGTGGAGACCGGAGAGATAGACACAAGCGCACCATTCCGAACCGTTAAAGACGCCATCACTCGTTTTGGTGAAAGTGCCTTTTCAGGGGAAAACCACGCCATTAAAACGGCAAAAGCTCGCTCTGCAGAGGTATTGCCGACTCTTGGCCAGTTCTTTGTTCTTTCACCAGGAATGCTGTGTCGAGACGTAGTCGTACCGAACCTTCCGAGTCTTGGACATGATATTATCACACGTTCAAGTTTTTCTTTTACATTGTTATCTCTAATGATTGCTAGTCTTACTGATTTAGGAAATTTATTTGTTGTTGAGCTGCAGAGAATATTGGCAAAGGAGATTCAGCTTCACCTGGCTCAAAACGTGTTGAACAAGTTAAAGGGGCGACTCGAAAATGCCGAGACAACTAAGTCTCAAGTGCTCAAAGATCTTGAAAGGGCTAAAAGAACGGTTGATGAACTGACTCACAAAATCGAATCTGTTAATGATTCAAGGAATTCAGCAATCAAGGCTGTCGAAGCTGCAAAGGATCGGGCTAAGCAGATCGAAGAAACAAATGCTGGTGATCTCAACGGAACGGATGGTGCTGTGAGCCAAGACTTGGAAACTGCGAGGGATCGATATACGACTGTGATTACCAAACTTAATGCTGCAAAACAAGAATTGCGGAAGGCTCGCCGGGATCGTGATGCATCCTTAGAAGTGAAAACGGCTGCTTTGAACGAGGCAAAAGAAGACGGACTTGCAGTTAAGGTTAACAGGGAACAGGTAGGAAAGCTCTCGGCAGAGATTTCGGCTGTAAAGGAATCAATTGGAAAGGTGAAGTTCGCATCTCTTCAAGTACAGCAAGAACAAGCTAAAACTCTTGTCGAAAAGGATAGCCTGAGGCAATTATATAAAGCTAAGCTTGAAGAGGTTGCTTGCTGTAAAGAATGAATTTGATCTTGACCTCGCAAGAAATCTCGAAGCGAAACTGTCTGAAACTGTCTATCAGACTGCGGATTTGCAAAGGCGCATAGAAAATGCAATGGCTTCCGATCAGGAGTCCCTGCAAACTATTACTTCAGAGCTCGACAGTGCTAAAGGATCGCTGCAAAAAGTCGTTGTCGAGGAAAGCTCGTTGAGGAGCTGGGTGGAGTCTCTTACGATTGAACTAGAGAATGCAAAGAAAGAGCATTTGGAACTGAAGGATAAGGAAGCGAAAACCGAGTCCATTGCCGGGAACCTGCATGTCAAGCTTCGGAAAAGTAGATATGAGCTTGAAGCTTCCATTGCAGAGGAATCCAAAACAAGAGGTACCTATGAAGAAATGATTTCAACCCTCCAACAGCTATTGGTCGAACCGGAAAATGCACATCAAGAAGCAGGAGAGATGAAGAAGGAAATCGAGAAGTTAAAGCTGGAAGCTGAAGCCTCAAGAATTGCACTTGAGGGAGCAGAGAAGCAGTTGAGTTTTGCTTTGGAAGAAGCCGAAGCTGCAAAAGCAGCTGAGGCACGGGCGCTTGATGATACTTGAATTATATAGCCGAAATGAAAGTGGCAGTTGCCATGGCTCAGGTAGAAGCAGTTAAGGCTAGCGAAAACGAGGCCCTCAAGAGGTTCGAGATTGAGAAAGAAATCGAAGACATAAAAGTCGCAACTGCAGATGCTCTGAAAAGAGAGATGGCCGAAGCAGCCAAGAAAGTGGTTGAAGGAGAGCTCCAAAGGTGGCACGAGAGGGCAGAAGTTTGCAGCCGAGGCAGCAACTCGGATTCTAGCGAAACCAGCACCACAGCGGTAGTCCTTCCATCTCAAAGAAGTATTCTTCCTAATTTCAGGGCCTCGATCGAAGAATCAACAAAATTAATGGTGAAACCTCCCTCGTATCGGCCCAGAGATGCCTTCGTGAACATTTCATTTAACCGGATCTTTTATCGATGGTTGAAAAACATGTTTGGTTGTTTGTACATCTGAGATATGTGGAATCAAATTTTTGTTACCCTTATTAGTTTGCAAGCAACATTGAGGAATCAAAGTAAGAACAGGTGCTTGCTCAAAGCAGTAATTTCCCCATTAAAACCATGCTTTAGAAAATATTCAGAGGATACTAACAAAAAAATTATCCCAGA